ATGAAGGATAGTTATTACATTTTATGCATATATATATATATATATATAGTTAATATTATTCTTTAAATTTTTTTGCGAAGTATATATATTTTTAAACATCTTAAAAATTTGAGCAATATGTAACGTAAATGCATTAAAAAAGAAAAACTAAAAATATTTATTTTGAATATTTTATATCGGAAGTGGATAAATGCTGCTTTGTGTTCTTCTCATGTTTTCTTGGTCATACGGATGGGTTTATTGAAGATTAGAGTTCGAATTTACGTTTTGGAAATTTATTTTAATTTTTGTCGTTATATTTTGAGATTTTGGTTAAAAATCGGGACCTCCTTAAGGCTGCCATTCTGTTTTAAATGTAAAGAAGCAATCAATTTTTGAAGAACAAATGATTTGTGCTGAAAGTTTAGGGTCGGGATAGCCTGGTTGGCAGGGTGCTGGACTCTCGCTCGTGAGAACGGGAGTTTGAATTCAGCAGATCGATGACTCCCAGCGTTGCAAATGGGGACTGGTACACGTTAAATCTGTCCGGTCACAAAGTCCTCCACGTTCCCACAACAACATACACCTCTGGGGGTACTGAGTTGGAGATTGATCGTTCTCTGGTTCAGATCAAAATTACGATCTGTGGCTGAATGAATGGATGTCTGTATGGGTCCACCCTATAAGCGGGTATTATGTATGGGTGAGGCAGAAATCGAATTCTTGGCCATAAATAGTGCCACTGGGAAACAAGAACAATCGCACCCACTCTGCCTTTATGGCCGACCACAACAACAACATTAAAAGTTTAAAAAAGAAAGCTTTTTGAAGTCAAACCATATTCGAGTTTCTATACTTGCCTATTTTGAAATAAATCTTTTTTTGGAATCTCCATTTCATTAAAAGCTGTATCTTTTGAGTTTTCACTCGTTTTTTTTTGCTTCAATGGGCCATTTTTTAACATAATTAATTTTTTGCTTCATTATTTTTCGCGTTTTGCGGTTCTGTCAGAAGAGTGAATTTATTCATCAAGATTGCAATTTTCTGAAACTTTGAAATTTTTTGTTGTTGTAAGAAACTGTGTTTTTGCTTTGTTTTATTCCTTTTGTTTTTTGTATATTGATTCTGCAGTTTATCAGTTGTTCAACCTTAAAGTTGGCCATTTTTAGATGGGCTGACGAAAAAACGTACTTCAAAATTTTTTTGAATAGTGGGTGCCATCACACTGTTCTATAATATCATCAATATCTTTCACACTATCTTTTTTAAAATCACTTTAAGATGCAATTAAAATTTTGCAAAAAATCAAAATATGAAATGTACGGTTAAACTTAAGGAAGCCACAGTTTATTCTCCCCACTTTAAAAATTAGTTAAAAAGTTCAACAGTAGATGGCGCATCGAAATGTGGCAAGCAATAAAAACGAAGTAATTTGTGTGTGAGAAAGCTTTAGATGCAATATTTACGATAGCGAATATTTTTGTTCTCGACAATAAACTATAAAACTTTGTTTTTTGAGATTTCTCAGTTGGTTTGCAGCACCACCTGTGGTGGAACTATTGTTGAAACTAATTTGAGAATTAATGCCCGATGTCTTAAGTAAATCGCAGCGCAATTAACATTTCTATTAAGCTCCGTTTTTTATTAATAGATTTTTATTTTATTTCGGGGTGCCGAACAAACAGAAAGAAATAAATTCTGTAAATTTCGATTAAATATTTCTTTCTCTTCAAAGTTATATCACTTATACATGGATATCACTTATACATGGATATGACATAATTTCAAAATATAATTTCAGAGTACGCATTTGGTTTCCCAGAGATCACGCCCACGATCTAAGGCTACAACGAAATAAATATTCTTTCGACAACGGGGCCAGCATATATGAATACAAATTTATTATTTGATGACAACAATAGCAAATTTTACTTTTTAGATGCATGGAATGGTATAAAACAAGTAAGTAGAGGAATAAATCGGAATCTTCTTCCCAAAACAAAGTGTGAGTAAAGTCCATATCTATTGACAGATACTGCTTTGTTGTTTTTTTCTGCTTTCTGTTGTAAAGGTTGTTAAAATGGTAAATGGAAGGTTTACCATTTTAACGATGACTTTCACCCACTCTTAACTTCATAGAAAGCATTTTCTATTGTTCAAAAATTCATAAAGCCTTTATTCTTTGAACCGATTGCTTTTGTTTAGATATAATACATTTCTTCCGAGTGCTTTCAATGGATTTGAGAATTGCATTTTGAACTTTTTTTTTGAAAAATCTAGTTTATTTTGTTTTGGAAGTAGAAGATAAGAATGTATAAAAGACTTGACTTGGAGATGGAGTTTCTTTTTTTTTATAGTTTTAATACTATTGCTTTGATGAATTCTTGTACAAATAAATTTCTCATTTTTGTCAATATAGCAACGATTGATCTGTGTTTCGTCATTTCTGACAACAATTATTTTGTCCTTTTTGATGAAATGCGAATTCTCAAATATTTGACGAAACTGCTGCTTTACTCGTGTATCTCCTTACACTAATTTTTTTGTTTTCTTTTGAATCTGAGTTGTATTTCGTACGTTGCAAAAAGGAATTTCTCGAAATTGAGCGAAAATACGTTATAATAGCTCCAGAATAAACATAACCAAATTTGAAAATTACATGCTTTTATTAATGAGTAAAATGTCATGCCTAAAACAGCATATATTCCTTTTTTAAACTATACATTTTGCTCAAAAATGAGGACATGCTGTTTCGAATATGTCATTATACTCAATATAGAGTACATGGGGTTAGAACTTGATTTATCATAAGGCGTGAGAGTCCCGCGTCTAGGGTTCCTACATGTCTAGGGGCCTCCTAAACATTACAAATATTTTTGTTTTGTGTGCCGATTATCGAAGAATTGTCGATTAAAGTTAACAAAAACTGATAATAAATGTAGGTACAAATTTACAAATATTATAATTTATTACCTTTGTTATTAAAATTTTAAAAGCATTTTGTAAATTAGCAACACGTGAATTCGAAACCCTATGGGGCCTACAATATTTTTGTTTCTAGGGCCTTAGGATTTCTAAATCTAGTCCTGCATGAGGATTTTAAATTCGACTATGTTTCGGAGCTATTTTGACACATTTGTTCTGCTCAGTTTTGAAAGACCCTTTTTTACAGTGTATGCTTAAGTATGATGGGTGATATAGGATTTAATGCATTTGATGGCCAAGCATGTTTCCCGGCTTAGAATCCTGAGGATGACTCAGAATTCAGTCCAACTGCTTTTATTTTATGCTGTTTTCCCTTGTTCATAGTGTTAATCGTTAAATCCCCTTAAATCTAATGCTTTTGACGAAGTTCAAACAAGTAAAGATAATAACCTCTTTATTTGATGAAATGTTTACTTGACGCACTGCCCAAGAAATGATTTTGCTGAAAACGTCGAAAATATTCAGAATTTTGGTGTATGCATTTTTCGCTTTTTACAATATTAGGAGGTTTTATTTGCTCCTTTTACCAACGTGATTGTTTCTCCTTCATCGTTGTTTTTTTTCCTTAAGAGTAAACTTTTTTTTTTTTTATAAAAGCAAATATCCTTTCTAATATACAATATATAACTACTACAAATATGTATTTTAAGGAAACATTGAGCAGGAATTTCTCACCACAAGAAAATAAAACATGTTTTTAATTTGACAACATTATTTGTGTGCACTTTTAACTGTTCAAAACTGCTTGACTGTTCAAGTTTTGGTTTAAAGATTAAAAAATTTGAGGAACCGGTGTGGAGAACTTTAGAAAGTTTAAGTATATAAACGCAGAACATTAAAAATGTTAAGAACTAAATTCCTTTACTGTTTTTACTAAATAAAATTTGAGTTTGATTGTAAAACAAATCAAACACGTTTTGTGAGAGAGGCGTTTTTGTCCGCATTTCAAGTTATAAATAATATTAATAAATCAAAATTCAACTTAATTTACATGTTCTGGTTGACTCCTTTTAGCATATTTCAATCATCGAAGTTATTTATGACTCAATTTAATTAGCATGTTCCGGTTTATTCCTTTCAGCATATTTTAAATATGGATGCTATTTATGACTCAGCTTAATTTGCATGTTCTGGTTCATTTCTTTCAGCATATTTTAAATGTTGAAGCTATTTATGACTCAATTTAATTTGCATGTCCTAGTTTATTCTTTTCAGCATATTTTAAAGACGGAAGTTATTTATGATACAACTTAATTTGCATGTTCTGGTTTATTCCTTTCAGCATATTTTAAATGTGGATGCTATTCATGATTCACTTTCGTTTACATGCCTGGTTCATTTCTTTCAGCATATTTTAAATGCTGAAGCTATTTATGATTCAATTTAATTTACATGTTCTAGTTTATTCTTTTCAGCATATTTTAAAGACGGAAGTTATTTATGATACAACTTAATTTACATGTTCTGGTTTATTCCTTTCAGCATATTTTAAATGTGGATGCTATTCATGATTCACTTTCGTTTACATGCCTGGTTCATTTCTTTCAGCATATTTTAAATGCTGAAGCTATTTATGATTCAATTTAATTTACATGTTCTAGTTTATTCTTTTCAGCATATTTTAAAGACGGAAGTTATTTATGATACAACTTAATTTACATGTTCTGGTTTATTCCTTTCAGCATATTTTAAATGTGGATGCTATTCATGATTCACTTTCGTTTACATGCCTGGTTCATTTCTTTCAGCATATTTTAAATGCTGAAGCTATTTATGATTCAATTTAATTTACATGTTCTAGTTTATTCTTTTCAGCATATTTTAAAGACGGAAGTTATTTATGATACAACTTAATTTACATGTTCTGGTTTATTCCTTTCAGCATATTTTAAATGTGGATGCTATTCATGATTCACTTTCGTTTACATGCCTGGTTCATTTCTTTCAGCATATTTTAAATGCTGAAGCTATTTATGATTCAATTTAATTTACATGTTCTAGTTTATTCTTTTCAGCATATTTTAAAGACGGAAGTTATTTATGATACAACTTAATTTACATGTTCTGGTTTATTCCTTTCAGCATATTTTAAATGTGGATGCTATTCATGATTCACTTTCGTTTACATGCCTGGTTCATTTCTTTCAGCATATTTTAAATGCTGAAGCTATTTATGATTCAATTTAATTTACATGTTCTAGTTTATTCTTTTCAGCATATTTTAAAGAAGGAAGTTATTTGTGATTCAACTTAATTTGCATGTTCTGGTTTACTCCTTTTAACATATTTTAAATGGGGAAGCTGTTTATAATTCAATTTAAAATGCATCTTTTGATTTATTCTTTTCAGCACTTTTTCAAAACACTTGCAGATATTTTAAATATGGATGCCATTTATGATTCAATTTCATTTACATAAAATCACATTAACATGGTATTATGATTCAATTTAATTAGCATGTTCTGGTTTACTCCTCTCAGCATATTTTTAATGAGGGAACTGTTTATGATTTAGCTTAATTTACAAGTTTTAGTTTAGCATAGTTTAAATGCAGATGTTATTATTATGATTTAATGTAATGCAAAGAAGATTAAAAGTTCAGACACAGGAATAACAAGAAACAGTAATTTCATTGATAAAATTGTTTATTAAATGCTCAATTAAGAAACAATTGAATAGAAAATTACATATACAAAGAATACAAACGCTTATTCTTAGACGACATAAAATAGGTGAATACATGCCTTAAATTTTGCTTTTATATGAATTAGCATCTATGCGTAATATCATTGATAGCCCTTCATATAATGCAAAATTTAACACAGTTGTCCCATTTAAATTCTGTATACTGCCAAGAAGTTCATTTTATTTTAATTAAATAGTTTTTATGATACATTGTTTTCCGACTGAACACCACACCAAAGACCAGTTTTTCAAGGAAGTACCCCGATGTCTGTTACCAGATGAGCACCATAGAAATGGATAATATGTACATATTTTCCTGCCGATTATATAACATATTTGCAGCGCTTCTCTTCCACGTAGTAACGACCAAAATAGAGTTCACAGAACGGGTTTTCTATTGTTTATATATCAATACAATGAAATCTGGAAAAAGAGAAGAAAATAAAAGAAATTAATATACAGATAAGATAAAACATATTATAAAAACTATTAGTTTTACTTGTCTTCGGCGTAATGTTCGCTCACACCTCTCAAAAGCAAACAAATACATTACATCGAAAAATGCTTTCATAGCATATTGGATTTTAATTTACGTTAATCAGTATCCTCCATGTTCCCATAGCAAATCAAAACCTCGGGGGGTACTGGATTGGAGATCGATCGTTCTCTGATTCAGGTCAAAATTACGATCTGTGGATGAATGAATGGGTCAGCCCTATAAAACGGGTGCAATTTATGGTGTGGCAGAAGTCGAATTCTTGGCCATAGATGGCGCCACTGAAAAACAAAAAACGCACACTCTGCCTTCAATTTGCTCGGTTTCACCAAGCAGGCTTGCCCGTGTGGCAAGTAGCATTAGAAACAACAACAAAAACAACAACAGTATCCCAAGAAAGCATTTTATGCTGTGGTTGCAGGTTCGAATCTTGTTTTAAATCTTTGTTTATAAATTAAATTAGAATTTTTTTTTCTGATCGGGATTGAAAATTGTTCGAGTAAATTGTATTCCATATATTTACTTCTCTCAGTCATAAGCCATGCGTAAAAGTCAAAATAATGAACTAAAATGACCCATTTAATCAAATTATTACTTTCAAATGAAATATTATACTGAAATTCTCTATGGTACAACTATACCTAGAACGTTGTCGTGATTGCTAAAACGTGCATGTTTCTTGCAACAAACAAATTACTGTATATAAAGTTAAAATGTGCCAAGAGTTTGACGATAAATGATACTTTTAAGTATATGATATCAAATTCTGTATTATGTAATAATACTAAAACATTATTGTACTCGCTAAAACATACACGGTTTTTACAACGAATATAAATGCACAAAGTTAAAATTTGATAAGATTTTCATAGCAATCGACCCTTATAAAGTATTTCATATTCTTTATTGTCACGTTAGTTTTAAGTGGGCCAAGACCTTCTTTATAAACTACTTAGTTTAATCATTATACTGATATTTTTAACTGTATCCATCTTTTACAGTGATAACTATTATAAGCTTTACGCAAAACTATTAGTATTCGGCGATATCATTATTATTACAAAACAAGTAAAACTTAACATTGGGCTTGATTTTTCGTTTAAAACCGAGATTCGTATTTGGCATAAAATCATGATTGTTTAGTTTCATAAGTAATTTTTGAAATTAACTTTTAAAATTAATTTTTGTAATCATCGACCATCTACCATCAAAAACTCAAGTTTAACCTTAAATATTAATTTTTTGTTGCACTATTTACTGAGTCAGCTGAATAGCACAAATTAAGTATTATTTTGTTAGGTCTTGTACTTTTTTGCAGAAACTTTCTTTTGGTTGAATAAATCTTTCATTTTTTTAAAATTTCTTAATTCTCATTTAAAAGGTTTTATTTTATTTTATAACCAGCGTTGAACAGCCGATCCAGAGTTTACGACTGTCAATACTTAACTCCGTGGCCTTTGTTATTTTGAACAAAACCCAGAAGACAAGGGAACTCTTGGATCAAGTATTGGGCCAGACTAGTCTTTGTGGAGGATATAGTGTCAAGGGAATTCTAATTCGTGATTTGTCTACCACTGAGGATATTTTATGTCAGTACTGTGGTCGATGTCATTCGAGAGCAGAATTCGTATCAACCAGCCACTGTTGGGATTCGAACCTGGGTCACCTCATTGGGAGGCGAAAACTGGATCCTCTGAGCCACCGAGGCTCTAATCAAGATGAGTTTTTAAAAAAATAAATCTTTTAATAATTGTAGATACATTTGAATTGCAGGTGCCAGTTCGTCACTGAATTTAGCAAACCTAAAAAAATCACCCGAAATTAATGAGGAGTTAATTAATCTTAATTTTATGTATAGAAACATAAAGTTAAATGTAATATTTTCAAGACATTATATATAATTGAGGCTCTAGTGTAGAATCGAGGGTTCCTTGATTTGGCGATAATTTTCGTTCAGTTTTGCTGAAATTCCATTTCTGGCTACTATGTTATACTTAGCGATCTTTGCTTTCAATGATGCCACTCTCGGGTTACCATAACTTAGTTTTGTTTACCTTTATGTGATTGGTTCCTGGTTTATTTACATAGATATTCGTTTACTTGCAAAAATCTCCAAAAATTAACATTATTAACACTTCAATAAAAAAAAAAAACTATCAAATTCTTGTTTAATATAAAGTATATGAAACAGTTTCTGAACATATTCACGCTATTATAATTTTTTTTTCTGTTTAGGTTATTTATTCTTTTTTAAATAGATAAACGGAAGATTAATTTAAGTGTTTGGGTCAATAAAGATTTTTTAAAGCCTCTATTTTTTAAGGGTGTCATTTTATGTAAAATTTTTGTTTGGGACTGCTTCAAGTCTGTTTTTTTCAAGTCTTTCAAGTCTGTTGTTTCAAGTCTTCACACGTTTTCAGTATTTTTCCAAAGTAACTTTGAAATCCTGCCGACCAGGTGGCCGAGTTGTTAGTTCGTGCCTGACTACGGAACCGATGGTTCGAATCCCGCCCAAGGCATGGATGTTTCTTTCTCACACTCTCTCTGTGTTCTATGCCCTTTCTTCTGAGTGAATGTGTGAATGTAACCCGCCCTATAAACGGGTTTGTGGTTGTATGACGTGGGCGACGCTACTCCACAACCGGGGCTTAGCCATGGGTGCTCACTGGGTAACGATAAGAGAGTAGCAATTCTGGCATTTCTGAGGCCAATGGGAAATAGACCCTAGTGCACGCAATTAACCAAAAAAAAAAAAAAAACTTCGAAATCCTTGTATGTTTTCACCTAAAATTCTCACAAAAAGTTTTCCTGAAAATGTGGCTTATGATTATATTATCATAAACTGGGTACTTAATTAATGTATGAGTGTTAAATGAAAGAAGACTGAGACAAATAAAAATAACATTATGACATTAAAAAAAAGTAACTTAATATTTACATAATAGAATACTATTCCAGACAATTTAAAAAAATTTTGAGCCGGAAAATTTTTATAATTATGAGAAGGAAGCAAAAATAAAATAAAAATTCGTGAGATCTACTCTTAACTATCAGAAAAAACCTCATTAGCTTAGTTTAGAAATAATGTATTGTCTTTGAAGGTCAATGTCTTTCGAATTCGAAACACTTTTTTCCAGATTTCTTCCGTCGAAAAAGTTACTGTACGTTTTTTTATGTTAAACACATCACCCATGAAAACACAATGGTTTAAAAATGTCCTAAACCATCAAAGAAATCAAGTGAATGCTGTCTTGAAAGCGAGGCGATGCGTAAAAAAACGTAATGGAGTTAGCAATCGTAAGCAAAACTATTTATTGAAGCATTTTGTTGTCAATTGTATACAAAGTCTGCAACTCACGCGATAAAAAGTAAATTTCTCTTTTCATGTTTTCACCTTTTTTTCTTCACAAAAATGTTATCTTTTGTTAAAACTTCAACACAGCACAAAAATGTGTTGTGTTGAAGTTTTAGACCATAGGATCCAAAAGGACCAAAAGGACCTAGTGTTCCACGGAGCACGTGCTCCGTGGAACACTAGGGTTTCGTGAAAAGGTCAAAAGGGTTTGTTAGTTAGGACCTTTTTTTCAACCAATGATTTTTGAAACCTGTGTTATATTTTCATTCAACAATTATTTGATTGTTTATTTAATAATTTGGTTATTATTTTGAAACTATTTCAGTGAAATTCCAATAAAAGGGATGTAGCAAATTTTAATATTTAAAAATATACTTTTTTTATTCAAAAATTTGTTCCATTTATATTTTTTACAAATATTTTTTTTTCCAATTGGAAAAATTACTAAAAGGATATGCATTTACAAATCATTGTATCCGAAATTATCATCGAGCTTTAAAATTCAAAATGAAATAACCTCATTCCAGAATTATTAATTATTTTTATTTGACATCGTTTCTCAAATTTTATAATAGTTCTTTTTTAAAACCCATAATTCAGCAATTTTATTCTGTCTGATTTCCTGTCTGCACCAAAATCTAATAAACTAAAAGTTGTTGCGAATTCAACAGCTAACATAAAACCTAATTTTAAGATTTATTAATGAAACAATGAACACATTTCATTCTTCATATTTTGTATTTCTAAATTTAATTATAGGTTTCCTTTTTCTTTTGCTTAGCATAATCAAATTTGCTAATTTACTTTTTTTTAAATAGTCAGAGTTTAGCCAAAAGAAGTTCGATCGTTTAGGGATCCGTAGCTGAAAGAAATTAGGAATCGCTGTTTTAGACTGTTGCATATATTGGGAATTAAATGTATACAGTTTGAGATTGTTTCTGATTAGGACAAAATATTGGATGTATCCTAGAATGGCCTAACCGGTGGCGATATTTTTAAATTTCGCCAAGCAAGCAAGTTTTTGAAATCTCGCCAAACTAGGTTTCCGGAAGATATTTTGGGGAGATTATTTTAAACGTCCAATCATACCATCAAAATTCTTAAACCTGATTGGTTATTTGATATGTATACCTACGCGAAAGTTGGATTTCCTTAGTAAAGAGGTAAAAGGGTTTATTTTTTCGTCATTTATGCTTCTGAGTAAAGTTAAGTTAGGTAAGCTTCATCAGAGTAAAGGTAAGTTATTTTTTATTCTATTAAAAATATTTTAATATATTTGTAATAATTTAAATTTTTTTTTTAATAATCGAAAAGCAACGTTGATCCCAGTAATAATCGCCAACTTGGCAAGATTTCAAAAAATCGCCAAGAGGTGCCCTATTCCAGGATTTTACCAAACGATTTAAGCAGACAATGAGTAATAAATGATTGTCCCAAAGCCATATGTAAGTTTGGTGCTTTTCATTATCGTTTATTCGTTTTTTCAACTCTAAATCATTTTATTCTACACATTTTAAGCTCATCTAAACTATGTTCATCTTAAGAAAATGCATAATTTCACGATTTTAACATTATAATTATCTTTCATATTTAATACAAAGGTTAATAAACAGTTAATAATAAATAATTAAAAAAAGCAGTAAAACAAATAATTTTTAAAATTTAGTTATTATTAAATAAGGGGTGATATACTTGCAACTTCATCATAGTTGCTTTCAGATGCCATTCCTTTTTACTTCTTTTTAATTATTATTCTTAAGTGCATAAATTTAATAATTTAAATTAATCAATCTGGTTTGACACAAGTGTGTTATTATATTGTGTTGTTAGTGTGCCAGTTTGGGAGAAACATGCGTCCTAAGTATTATTTAATATCTCTTGTAATTCATTTGCAAAATGCACATTCTTTTAAAATTATTATACTTGTATGGTAAACACATTTTTGGTTAAAAAAAAAAAAAAAAAAAAAAAAAAAAAAAAAAAAAAAAAAAGATACTTCTATAACTCTGGAAATGAACCCAAAATATGCGGTATGTAATCCATTCATTTGATAATTTTTCTGTTCAGATAGTAACGGTTTACCAGAAACTCTGGTTTTCAAAAATACAGTTTTTATTACCACACATTTAGTAAAAATACAAAACTGAAAAGTGAATTTAGCCGAATAAATGGTTCTTATACCATGCTTTAAGGTGTTATAAAATTATATCTAATGGTTAATTTTACCAAAAGTCATTACCAAAGCCATTAATTTTACCAAACGTCATTATCAAAGCCATTAATTTTACCAAAACTCATTACCAAAGCCATTAATTTCACCAAAAGTCATTATCTTCGATAAAAATTACCATGCTTTTGTGTTCTCATAGAGTCAGAAACACGATAAATTATATCATATTCTGGTAGTTTTGAGCATACTTTTTTTTTTGAAGTTACTTTTTGTTAATGTTTAACATTTTATCATAGAAATGACAGGATGTGTTATCAAAATTTTATTTAATTAGGCTGATATACAGGGTTATTCCTAATTCCCTCCGGGGTTTCGAAGCGTTATAGTAAAAAAACGTAGACGAATATGGCAAAAAAGAACGTATGAAATTATTCCGAAAGTATTCAAGTTTTAATTTAAGCAGTTGCCGGTAGATGTCAGTAACATGTACCACTGAAGCCAGTTGTAGTAAAGAAAAATGGCGTTTACAGGCGGAGGGAATTATGAATAACCCTGTATTATACTAATTGTTAAATAAATACCATTTTATTGGTAAACATATACATTTAAAGGAAAAAAAATTGAAATTAAATCAAGGAGATAGAGAGGGAGAGAGAGAGAGAGTAATTAAAACTCTCGGTTCAACATATTTTGTGTCTAGAGAAACGCGTTTTCAAAATACCACTTTGTTAGTCTAATGAGCATTTTAATAATGAATATTTTTTGGAATAAATTTTCACCTCCTTAATAGCCTTCACCTATTAAGAAAATAACCTTTATAAGTAAAAATAAATTGCATTGTGAAGAAAGCCACAAAAGACCGAAGTTATTTTAAATAACAAAACAACAGTCGTTAAGTTCAAATTGTGTATTTAATCTAGAGCTAAATAATTAATCGAAGCTGAAATCAAGGATATCGTTTACGCTTTATTACTAAATAATTTATTGCTAATGCAAATCGGGAACAATCGTCATTGTTGGGACAATAAGTTAATTATTACTTAATAAATAGAACTGCGTGTTTTTTAAGATTCAATTATAAATAAACTTGATCTATTTTATATCTCAATATTAGAAAAGCTATTTTAAATTAAAATAATCTTAGACAATATAATTATTGGTATCAAGGAAAAATTATATTATTTTTAAATTAATATATCATTTGAAGCATACAAAGATAAAGTATTGAAAGTAAAATTTTGAATTTAAGTTTATTGCAAAATTTATAACAACTTTTGGGAGTCTTTAAGCACAAAAACGGCTGACTGACATTAACATGAAATGAAAGAGACACATTTTGAATTTTTTTTGTTAGAATTAAAAGAAAACCTTTTTAAATAATGCTAAAAATTGTTCATTACACAATATAACTATTAAAGGATGTCCCAAAATTCACGTAATATTTGAATTATTGAGAAAGTTAATTAATTCAGTAGTGGCAACTGAAATAAAGAGAACAGTTTGACATCTGATAGTTTAGGTTTCGTAAAAATATAGCACTAAACGAATGAATAATGCGTTATTATTGTTGAATAATATTTCAAAAATCCAATTAATGCATGAAACATTTTTGGTCGAGTACTTTCACTATCAGAATGGGCACCCTATATAATTTGGTTTAATACCATTTAATCTTCTATGGAAGTTAAAAAAGGTCTATGGCAGTTAAAGGTCTATGTCGACAAGTTCACAACCATCATTGTAGGAAGAAATTCAACCGAGCATTGTAGGAAGAAATTCAACGTTGCATCATCGAAATTCTGTCACCTTCATGCAAAATCGTTATTAAAACTTTCGTCAAAAGAGAGCGCATGCGTCAGAAAACCATGATGGTCACATGCTCGATGTGTTATTCCGTGCATAACCCTATTCTTAGCAATTAATAATTGATAATAAAAATTACAATTGAAAATTAAACTAGATTTTCTATTTAATTCAAATCTTGCGTAAATTTTGGGACACTATTATACACTGAGAAAGGAAGTAGGGTCAAAACTACCGGAATAAGTTAAAATTTACAGTGTTTCTGGCTCTATATTAACACCAAGAAAGCTCGGTAATTTTAACCAAAGCGGTTTGGTAATGATTTTTGTAAAATGAATGAAATTTGGCTTTATAATATATGATAAAATTTGGTAAATGTGCTAAAATTTGTTAATTTTATCATGATACCTTGGAGAATGGCATAAAAACCATTTATTAGGTTAAATTTACTTTTCAGTTTCATATTTTTTACTGAATGCGTGGTAATAAGAAATATAATTTTGAAAGCCAGAGTTTCCGGTAAACCGTTACCATATGAACGGAAAAATTTTCCAAATGAATGGATTTAGTACCGCATATTTTGGTTTTATTAACCAGAATTTTTTTCTAAGTGTAAATGCATAAATTAAAATAATTAAATAAAATAAATAATTTACTAACATTAGAAGAAAAGTGACTTTCGTCTTGATTTTGTAAAGGGTAAATAAATAAATAATGATAAATAAATTATTTTTTACTCAACGTTAAAGATGTTACGTAACAATTAGAAATTTTTTTTTATTGAGAGACGCTGTTTGCATTGCACCCTTAACTGAGAAAGAAAATATAATTATTTTACAAAATAGTTGAGACGTAAATTAAATTTAACATTTTATTTCCTTTTGAAATCTATGCATCACACCATCTATGCATTTGAAATCTCACCAGGTTTATAAACATTATTAAGACATTTTCCTATGAAAATATGGACAATTTTTAAGTTTTGATTTGCCTATGTTGATGTGGTTAACTCTGTTTTTTTTGCATATAATTGATTTAATTATTTTTTTTATGATTGGCAAAGTTTACTAGATTAACTTTAAGTTACGTTTTTCTTAAAGGTTAATCATTAGCGTTTAAAATTCAGATCGTTTATTCCTGTATCCTAAAACTTTAAAATATTTCTAAAAATTCATTTTCATTGAAACTTTTTGTGTTTTTTATTTGCTTAAAATAAATGAAGGACTTAGCATCATATTTTTTGACATAGAAAATGAAATAAGCGAATAATAAATAAGTTTTAATCAACTTTTTTTATGTCCATCAGGAGTCTTGTGGTAGCAAATCTAGAAACAAAACTTTAGAATAATTTTAAAATAAATTCTGCGAAAGATGTATTATATTTAAAACTTCAAAACATTTTTTTGGAATATTGAATCACATATTATAACGAATATCTCCAGTTTTTTTAGCCAATTTTTTTTTATAAATAAAATAACTGCTTCAGAGATATGCTTACAATAGAGATACTACTAAAATTGGAGATTACAATCACATTCTAAATAACGATTGCAATCATAAAAAAAAAGAAGAGATTTCTTGGTCGAATACTTTTCTTCTTGAAGATTCGTAAATATTCTTTGCCTTAAATTTTTGAATACATACTTATGTACAGATATTTTTACAAAGTTATGCCTTGAAAGTTTTTTTAAAGCACTGAAATATTAAATTACACTTCTTATTGCAATTTTTATCTATAAGCAATAAATTGAAAACACAAGTTTCATTTACATTAAGTTATTTATGTATATTTCTGAAATTAATGTTCCAGCCATTGAAAAATGTAAACGTTGTGATTCACTGAGAAATTAAGTGAAATTAAACAGGTACAGAAATTAAGTTAGTTGCAGTTTGTTTAGGTTTTTTGTTCGAAACAATTACATAAAATTCATATTTACGATTGCTTTCCTCATTTTAATACATTATCTTTTATGGTAATACTTAAAGAATACTGAATAAATATTATTGAATGATTTAAAATTAACATATTTAAAGGTTAATTCAAATCAATATAAATAATTTAAACTTGAAGATATGATAAGTTTTGATAAGAATGGAATTTTTTTTTACATTAAACGATACAAAATTTTATTGGAATTATTTCCACAATGAAAATTCTCATTAATATAAGAAAACAAGTTAAGATTGTTTTTATAAACCCATTGCGTTACCCTGAGTTATAAGAAAATTTTTAAGAAAATGTTGCTAAGAACTTCTTAAACATTAAATAATATTACTAAACAATTTGAAATTGTTAAAAAGTGTTCAATATTTTTTTAGTGAGTAAACAATGCACAGTAAAATAATTAGTTGAAACAACTGACCTTTCGGAGAGCAGTCCTGCCGCCCATTTTTCTGATTTCTGCCATTAATTGTTCTCTAGGATCTATTTGAGGCTGGATTTCTTTTTTAATCGCTTTATTCTGATTTATAGAAGATTTATTAGTTTTTAATGACAAAACCTCTTTCGGTTTTTCACTTTCTGATGGTAGAGGAGGTGGAGGAGGAGGTAGGGGGCTAATTGAATGTTCTGTCGCTTTTGCGGATGCAGGCAATCCATTCGATTGGCCATTGTTTTTATTCACACATTTTGCAACAACACTAGATGGACCATTTTTGACGGATACACCATTACTAATTTTCGTATGAGGTTTTGGAAAAGTAGCTAATTTATTAGGATTTTGAGGTCGCCTGACTGTTTTAGCTTCCTCTCTCATCTTATTGTTATAATTATTTTCTAATTTGACATTAGTATCGCTGTTTTTGTAGTCCGAGGTTTTTGAAATAACTTCTTCATCCTTGTGTTCCGCTATGAACTTCAAAGTATCAAATGAAGGAAGGATAGTTGACAGCATTTTGCTGTCATCTGATATGTCCAGTTCACCGTCTTTTCTAATCTCTGGCGGCAATCTTTGGCGACTTTTAGTTGATATCCGCACTTGCGGAGGTTTAAAATAGTTTTTGTTTTTTGAAGATCTAAGCGTACTTGTTCCATTGGTTATGGGAAGAGAATTTAGTTCCAAAGAAGGAATATTAATGGTAGATCTCGGCAATGTGGAGCAAATGTTTTTAGTGGGCTCGTATGACAGAGATCGAGACACTAAAGGTATTGAGGACGGTGCATCATCAGAGAAATCCTCGCCTTCTGGTAAGCTGTGAGATTGACGAAGAGTTCGCGCATATTGCGATACCATGCACTCTTCGCTTAACATAGCTTGATTCTTTAACACTTGCTGCTGCCACACTAAGAACTGTTTCTGAAGCTCGATGTATTCACGCTGAAGTTTCTCTTGCTCAAGCGAAAACTCTTCTTTGTCATCAGCGTGTACATTTGATAAAGATCTTTGAATGTTCGAGTTCTTTTTTGAATGCAAAGTTGGATATTTCGGAGAAACCTCGGCAACACTCAGAAGCGAAGATGATCTTTTCAATGTACTCCCTGCATCAGAAACAGTGGAAGTTGTAGAACATTCTGACGTGCTGTAAACCGGAAAAGTTTCTTTTTCATCACTCCTGAATTCAGTCGGTGGTGGCAGAACAGTTTCTATGCCAATATCATCTTCTTTACTATCTACATTTAAACTTAAAATCGCCGATGATTTTTGCAATGGATACAAACTGTCATCGGAAGCGCTTACTGTTTTATCCGCAACTTGAGGTAGATTACTGTCAGCTGAGTTTTCATTACAAGTGCCATCCTGGGTCACATGGCTTTGGTTCTTCTTAGGTAAGTTGATTCTTTGCTTAATGGACAGAAGAGATGGTTTGACTCTTTGGGGGATGTCCACAGAGTGAAATGCAGCTTGGATACTGGAGGCTATTTCCTGTTGCGTCACATCCTGCTCGATCCTGGCATTGAGGGCAACTAACGCCACCCTGGTCACTAGCTCACCTAAAAGGGAAAAGGGAGATTTAATTCGTCAAAAGTGAAAAGAAAGCAAGACGATTGAAGCGTCTCAAACAAAGGTCACCGTCCCTGTCTTTGTCGACAGGTTTTTATTATCATCCTTTGCTCCAAGACTTCTTTTGTCATGCTTGGTCAACGCCCAAACCTGATTCTTGGTTTCGTTTTTCTACTCTTTATCAAACACATTGAGCGCTAAAATAAGATTTTAACTGCTAATTCATGCGTGATGCTATTGTTTTAGAGAAAACGCAATGGTTTTTGAAAATTGAATATGAGGTAATTTAAATATATTTAATTGGAAAATTACACCTTAGATAATAGATTGCATGGATAGTTTTTTCGCATTGTTGCTGGATATGAAAATTATTAAGAAGATGAAATTGTATATTATGGTGCAATACTTAATTTGAAAAAGAAATATGAAATTCTCACTTAATCTGAAAGAAGAAAGAGATTGAAATATATTACAAATAATGAAATGTGGAATGCTCTAATAATTTTTGCAAGCACTTTTTACTGTCCAATTTCAAGATTGTTAAGAATATTTAAAACGTATTTATTTCGATTTTTTAAATTAATAAAGCTTGTTAAATGTGTTTAATATACATAAAAATGTCATGTAACCGTTGCATAGTTTAATTTTTTAAAGTTTTTTTTGTATGGATTTAAGAGAAATAAAAGATTAGTATCTATGTACACATTCAAACCTAAAGAAACGTAGGGAGTCTCAATAAAAAGTAGTTTTCATATAGCTATTTTGTTGTTGTAAAAAACTAATTCGTTAATTTATCATGACAGTTTTTTTATGCATTAGCATTAATTTTTGAAATGCAAATGAATAACTGCTATTTTAAAATAATATCAAAAAATTATATTTATAAATTTTTTTCAACTAAATATTTTAACAAGATATTAAAGGATTATTTAATTTATCTAGTATATCATTCTCATGAAATCAGAGCTAAGTTATAAGTTCCTTGTTAGATTCATGCACTGAGAAAAAAAGAATGGACACAGCTACTAGACTATGGTTAAGTTTACTGCGTTTAAAAGGAAGTTCTGGTTTTAAAGAAACACTAAAAGACTTGGTTATTTTTACGGAAGCACTTTAGTGATTGTTTTAGTTAAATTAACCGTAAAACATAGTGCTATAATTTGTGATACAATTTAGTAAATGTGGCAAAATTTGGAAAGTTTATTATGATTTCTTAAAGCATGGCAATGAAATCATTTATTTGGTTAAATTTATTTTTTCAGTTTTGCAGATTTTACTAAATGTGTGATAGTCAGAACTAAAATCAGAATTTCCGGGAAACCGTTACCATAGGGACGAAAAAATTACCAAATGAATGGTTTAAATACCCTATATTTCAGTTTTTGTTTCCGGAATGATGATTGTATTTTTCAAACCAGAAATGTCTATACGGTATAGTACAATAATTTTACCAGAATTCTTTCTTCGTGGAATTTTTTTCAAGATAAAAAGCATTCAATATTTTTAAAGCGTAAAAGTAACGATTTTGTTGCTTAATAGTTGAAAAAATAATGAAAAAAATATTACAAGCAGGTTTATGTTTCAAAATTAACTTCAGTTTGCTTTTGAATCTAAAGTTTCTTTAGTAATGTTTAAAAGAATACTTCTTTATTTTATGGTTTGAGCAAATAAAAATATATAAAATTTTAGAATTTGTAAACATTATTAATAATTTTCAACAAAATGAAAAAATCTCGGCAAATTCGTGTTTTTTTAAAAAAAATTTAATAATTTTTAAACACCTAAAAATATTTGCAGGTTTTAAAGTTCGTGCAATTCTTTTCAGCAATCTACACGGAGAAAAATTTTTTTGTAAAATTACAGCACTGTATGGTAATGATATTTCTGGTAGAAAAATAATAATTTTGGTAATAAAAACCACAATATTTAAACCATTCATTTGGTAATTTTTCCGTTTATATGGTAATGGCTAAGCGAAAATTCTGATTTTTAAGATTGTAGGTTTTATTACCACACATACAGTAAAAAATATAAAATGGAAAATTAAATTTAAGGGTTTGTATGCAATGCTAACGTATCATGCTAAAGTTACCAATTTACCATATTAAGCAAAATTTATCACATATTATAAAACCATATTTTATTATTAATTTTACCAAAATTATTACCAAAGCGTTTCGGTAAAAATTGCGGAGCTTTTTGATATATTTATAGAGCCAGAAACACGGTAAAATGTACCATATTCAGGAAGTTTTAACCAGTGTAGCATATATAGTTCGAAATTAAATCTTCGACTCAAGTTTTAAAGTATTTAAACTGAAGCTTTTTTCACTTCTCTTGGCAAAAAGAGTCGAAAAATGTATTAAAAAATTTATGAAATTTTTACCTTAAAGTTTTTAAAAGCTAGCTGTTTTTAAACTTCAAATTATGGTCTGAAATTACAGATGTTAAACTGAAAGTCACTTTAACTTCAATCCAAATACTGCTGTATCGCAAATCATGGTCTGAAACTATTAGTCGTATAGTTGAAAGTGTTTTTGGTTTCAAATCAGATATTTTTATAATGCAAACGTTTATATAATGACAGACGATAATAGTTGTTAAGCTGAAAGTCACTTTAACTTCAATTCAAATGCTGCTGTATCGCAAATTATGGTCTGAAACTATAAGTGGTAAAGTTGAAAGTCTTTTTGGTTTCAAATCAGATGTTTTTATAGTGCAAACGTTTATATAATGACAGACGATAATAGTTGTTAAGTTGAAAGTCACTTTGTCTTCCGTTTAAATGAAGTAGGACTAGTAAATTATCTTCACATCACATTGCATAAGGCTAATAGACTATGAAAGCGAAATGGTTATTTAAAGCCTCAGAATTATACAATCACCAAATGAAATGAATAAAAAAGCGAGTTTAACGAATTCGGAAGAATTTCTCACGATTAATTGAGACTTTGTTACGGGCGCATGGGTATTACAGATCAAAGTAGCATTTATGTTCGTACAGGAAAATGCATCATCGGCGAAGCGAGAGTCAAGATCTAGACAAAAAGATGATGATGATCGTGCATGTTATGTTCGACCGTCGTGAACCTTCTGGAAGATTGTACGCACGAACTACTCCGACTGACTCACGGCAAGGTCACGACGCTGCACGACGGCTGATCTTAAAATATTTCTTTAAGATGTAGTGTTGAATTATAAATTTCCTAGGTTCAATACACTATAACGTTTTAAGCAGGAAGATTTTGAACGATTAGGGTATTTGTTACACAACTTATTAACCGTGAAATAGTCAGTCCATAAGCAGTATTGAAAAGTTTAGTTAATTTGATTTTTTGAAATATACGACTATAAAATTTTCAATTTTATCATGCAGGCTTGTTTGGATTTTATTATCTGATACGACTAAAAGTGAAATATTTTCGAGATTTCCTATTAGAGCAGGGGTTTCCAATTCACATGAAGTCGGGGGCCGCAATTAAAAACACCAGTCAAATGTTGGGCCGCAATCAAAATTTTACATAGGTCTCTTTTATATTTGAAGGAACATTAAATATTACGGATAGATTTTTATCAAATTGCGCAAAACAAAAGTATTCAATTGCAAATTAAAATTAAAAGTAGATTTTTAGAAATATTTTGTTGCATATTAAAAAATTCTGGTCACAAAATTTACAAATGTAAATAATTTCGTCCAAAATGAGTGGTTTCAAAAAGTTAAGTCGGAGAATTTCTTCGAGAAAATTTCTAATACACACATGCTAAATTATATTNAACAAGAGCGAAAATCTGTCTTAAAAAAAAAAAGAAAAGAAAAAAAAAGAGCAACATTCGCGATTGTTTTTTGTATTTAAATAGATATTTTCTGGGATGCAAAACTTGAGAAATAAATTTTTTTGCACCGTTTGTATGTTAAATTTCACAGAAACGAAGAAATTATGTTTTGTTTAGCGACGGAAAAGTATTTTAAACCCATACAGAGTTTTTACTGAAATTGTCCGCAAAAAATGACAAATAATATATTTTAGTTCGCGGGTGACAAAAAAAAAAAGGCTTCGCGAGCAGGATGCAGCCCGCCAGTTGGTAACCACTGTATTAGAGGATTCAAAAAATCAGATGAGACAGTTTTATTACGAATACTGGAAATTTTGATGTTGTTTACAAATATTTGATATTGTTTCTACTTTATATATCGCTCTAGGTCCTGGTTGAATCTCAAACGCAGTACGTAATTATATGTTTTCATTTACACATTTTGAGATAAATTTCCTTAGGTGGATCAAAAGGTATTTTCTTATATAAAATTTTGCTTAGTCTTTACATTTTAATAAGCACAGTATTTATAATTTTAATTATTTTGAGATGCTTCAGAAAGATGAATGAAGTATTTTGAAAGTGTTAAATAAATAATCACAAGAAACTGAAACTGTAATATATTACTTGATTAAAACTTCATTCGCTTCAAATATATGTAAATCGGAAATAACCGTCGACATGTTTTAAGCGTTTAAAAACAGGTGCCCCTTTTCAAGACTTGCCAGACGTGAATCAGAAGAAAAAAGAGTGACTTGTAAAATAATACGTTAAGTTTCCAACGAAGAATGGAAAAACAACGGTGATACATAACTAGAAAAGTTGCAGAAAGAAAAAATAAGAAAAACCACAGTGTAAGAGGGGGGCAACTGAGGGCAAAATATATTTCCACGCTTTGTGAAGAAAGTGAGAAACTAACGTCTTTAACAAGGGAATCGGCATTCATATGAATAAAAAAAGACTTCACTTTACCAGGGCATTAAATTTATGTTTTTTCTTTCTATTTTCCATAACATTTATTAAAGATGATTTTTTTATCATATAAAAGTGTTGGATTTAGAGTAGATATATCCTCGTGATTAATTAAAAGCAATTAGTTTTTTGAACTTTGTTGTAAATGAACTCAAAAAATTACTGTCATTAGGGGTATCAAGTAATTTTTATTTGCATAATTTAA